GTACGTGTGGGGTCATGGTGGGGTAGGCTCTTGGACAGAGCTGGGGCTGCAGAAAAAAGTTGAATGAACATATTGATAAATATTTGTCTGTTTATTGAAACCAGCACAGTGTGGTTGAAAAGCTTCTTTAAGCTCCACCTTCTATGTTGCTTAGTCTGTGACCTTGGACAAAATCACCCCCCACTCCATCAGCCTCACTTTCCTTGTCTATAAAATTGAGATTGGGACTAACTTCTTTTTGAGATCCAGTTGAGCATAACGTTTTACGATTTTTATGTTAATGCAACAGTCTAAGTAAAGGAAAGTAATGTAAGCACAAGGAAAGAAGAAAGTGCTGATCATTATAGGACAGACATCAAATACGTTAAAAATAGTTTCTATTCTCGGGCGTACATTCCCAGAGGGAGGGCTTATCTACCAGTGCCCTCCCTCTGAGGACCACCACTCCTTCCCAAATGCTCACCTTCCTGACCCTGACACTGCTACAATACCCTCAGGGTCAAACAGAAAAGACCACCCTGACATATATTCTCCCCACTCACTAGAAACATTTGAATGAGAGCCAAAATGAGTTTGTGCTTTGTGAGTTCTTAGGGTGTGGTAGCCAGAAGAGTCAGACCACCTGTCCCCACCCCCAAGTGACCTCAGACAAGTCACTTTCCCTCTCTGGTCCTAGCCTTAACTAAAAAGGAGGAGTTGGGTGGGTTTTTCTTTGTAAATCCTTCCTCTCTCCCCTATTCCCCTGCTCTACCTAGCCCCAGGTACCAAGGCTGGGAGAAGCCAGAATCTACAGGCCAGCATTACTCCAAGCATTCCCAGAAATAGAAGATGATCTCCAGCATCCCCAGCAGGCTGGTCCCGAAATGGGAGCACAGCCAAGTGTCTGTACTCGGCGCCGTGAGCCAGAAATCAGGCAAGATGCAGGAGCTCAAACGGGGCCACAGCCCAGGACCCTCCAGCCACGGCACACTGTCCTGATCCAAAGGCAGATTCTGCAGCTTTTCTCACAGATGTCCTCTTACTTGTAGGATCAAGACATATAAGGCCTCCGAAGGAATCAAAAACTTGTGCTTTGGGCACCAGACCAGGACCAGGAAGAGAGTGAAAGATTCCTTGTTGGTTAATGCATGGTTTTAATTAAGGTTTCACACGCCTACAGGAAGATGGACCTAAACATGTATGACTTGATATATTTCCATGAAAAGAATGCATCAGTGAAACAAGCACCCAGGTGAAGAAACAGAATGATACCCACCCCCCGGAAACCTCCCTCGTGCCCCCTTCCAGTCACTAGTTCTTCAAGAATAAGCACTATTCTGGCTTTTAGCACCACTGATTGATTTTGCCTGTTTTTGAACTTTACACAAACGGACTTAACGCAGTGTGGACTCATTTGAGTCTGGCTTCCTTTGCTCAACATTGGGTTTGTGAGCATGGACACCAGTGTCAGTCATGTTCACTTGTGCATAGTAAGGACTTGAATGAGGAGTTAAAATCAGTAAGACATCCATGGGTCTAGCCTAAGGTGCTTACCAAGAGCTGAGAAGCCAGGTTTATGCTCTTCCCAAAATCAGAATGACTCAACCCCATTCTTCCTGCAGACTCCCTCCTAGGGGGCTGCAGAGGTGAAAGGCAGGGCCTCGGTGCCCCAATCAGACTTCAAAGGCCAGAAGCTCTTGTTCATTGAACACTTACCCCATGCCTGGCTCTGTGAGGGGCACCATAGACTCAGTAGCTCACTTAATCCCGGGAACCATGGGCTACATACTGTTGTTATTCCTATCTAATGGGTACAAGAATAGAGTCCCAGAGAGGTTGAGTAAGTTGTCCTAAGGTTGCACAGCTAGGAAGGGGACACAAATTCCAATCTTTGTTGACCCCTAAGACCTAACATGGCCACCACTCTGTGCTGACAAGGAGCTCACTGGCTGGCTCTGGCCTCCACCCTTGTCTCCAACCCCACGTACTACTGCTTGCCCACAGCTCACATTTCAGCAGGCTCTACCCCACCTCTGGACCTGTGTCCATGCTGTTGCCTTTGCCTGCATGTTTACCCCTCAGCTTTTAAATGAACAGTCACTTCCTCTGAGCAGCAGTCCCTGACCAGTTGGTCTCAAACTTGTGCCCTATACTCTCACAGTCCCTCCTGCTCTCCCCTTGCACAGCCCTTAACACATGTTATAAAAAGTTATCCCTTTGGGTCCCCTGTTCATGGGGTTATTACCTTTCTTCACCAATGGATCACAAGCTTTAAAAGGACAGGAATGTGTCTGTTTGTTCACCACTGCCTTGGACAGTAGCCGGCACATATTAGCTCCTCAATGGCAAGTTAAGTGAAGAAAAGGAGAGGAGGGAAGAAAAATAGGACTGTCTCTTCTGAATCGGAGCACTCATCTGCAGACAGCTCTAGCTCCAGCCTACTTATGGCTCCCGGCAAGACCTTCCCTCCTCCCTGAGTGCTGGTCTCCTCAGTTTTCAGATGAAGAACCTGGAAGAAAGGATCTCTAAAGCCCTTCTAGCTCATCTGGCCTCCTGACCACAAACCCTAGGAGGTCAAGCCATTCCAAAGGCCTCAGGGCTCTGCAGCCTTTTACCCACACCATGTCAGAGGCGGGGTTGGTGGGGTGGGGGGGGATCCAAAGCATCCAGTCTGTGAGGTACGGACCCACCCACCGGAGAACAAGAGGCCTCTTCCAGCTCTAACAGCCCTGATACACAAAGGTGGGGAGAGACAGGACTAAGAAGGTATAATAGGTGAATTCCCTAGGAACCGGCCTCGACTTCCTTCTTCAGAGCCCCCCACCCCAACAAGGTCCCTTCCAACTCTGCTCTTGGCATGTGCATGGCTGCGCCCACTACCAGGCCGGAGCTCCAGGAGGGCAGGAACTCTCCGTGTTTTGTTCATCTTTGTGCCCAGAGCACTTGGCACAGACCCCTCCATGTAGGATGTGGCTGAGGTGAGGCTACTGAATCAAATGCCATGGGCAGGACCTGCCAGGGTCTGCTGCTAGGCTTGCCACCTTCCCCCCCTGGGAAGGACCTGGGAGCACCACGTCAGGAGAATCACGTGGCTTCCCATTCAGAGGTGGACTCCCACTGACCACCTCCCCACCTCTGGCCCTGTCTTCTTCCTATACCTTCTCCAGGCCCTGGATTGTCAGTGGCAGTCAGCTCAGACAGAAGGCTAAGGACTCGTGCCCCTCCTGGGTCTCTGCAGGCCTTCTCTCCCCCACCCCGCCAGTCAGCCAGGACAAGCACTCCCTGGGCTTGAAGTAATGCACCCTCTTTGTGAAGTAAGCCTCCTCTGGCTTTGAAGCTCTTTCTGTTTTGCCTTTAAAAATAAAAGTAAGAGGTGGAGCACCTGGGTGGCTCTGTCAGTTGAGCATCCAACTCTGGATCTCAGCTCAGGTCATGATCTCGGGGTTCTGGGATCAAGCCTGGCATCAGGCGCCACACTCAGGGGTGGTCAGCCTGAGGATTCTCTCTCTTCCTCTCCCTCACTCCCCTCCCCCACACATTCTCTCTTTCTTTCTCTCTCTCAAATAAATTTTTTAAAATAATAAAAATTTTAGGGGCGCCTGGGTGGCTCAGTGAGTTAAGCCTCTGCCTTCGGCTCAGGTCATGATCTCAGGGTCCTGAGCTCGAGCCCCACATCGGGCTCTCTGCTCAGCAGGGAGCCTGCTTCCCCCTTTCTTTCTGCCTGCCTCTCTGCCTACTTGTTATCTCTCTCTCTGTCAAATAAATAAATTTAAAATCTTTTTAAAAATAAATAAATATTTTAAAATAAAATAAATAAATAAAAGTAAGAGAATATTGGGCCTGAATCCAAGACTTCTATAAAGAGGGAAGGCCTCCTGTTTTGCATCATGGATATAGTGACGGCCTTCAACCCCCACGTTTTTATTCTGCTAGGGATGTGAGGGGGTGGTGAGGCTGGGTGTACTGGTGGGCTCGCAGGAATATGCAAGTGCTGTACTTATTGGAAAAGGCATAACAGGTGTGCAGGTACAAACTGGACTGACCAGACCTTGGCCATGTCACTCTCCAGCTGAGCAACTTTGGGATTTGCTTAAACTCTCTGGACCAGCTTCCTCACATGAAAAATGAGAGTGAAATTCAGACTCTAGGGCTGGTGTTCTGTAATCACTGAAGAGCCATTTAAATATTAGCAGATTCTAGAAACGGAAGGCAAGAAGAGAGCTTTGGGGGGGCGTCTGGGTGGCTCAGTGGGTTAAGCCTCTGCCTTCGGCTTGGGTCATGATCTCAGGGTCCTGGGATCCAGCCCCAAGTCAGGCTCTCTGCTCAGTAGGGAGTCTGGTCTGCTTCCTGCCTCCCCGCTTTGCCTGCCTCTCTGCCTACTTGTGATCTCTGTCAAATAAATGGATAAAATCTTAAAAAAAAAAAAAAAAAGAAGAAGAAGGCCTCGGAACATCTTCATTTCTTTCCACACAGTAACTACTTTCCGAACTCAGAATTCATCCCTGGCTGCATTTGGGATTTAGCCAAGCTAAAAATGCAACCAATAACTCAGATCCTAGGAACCTTCCTGATGAGGCTCGAGTGGCCTCTTACTCAAGACAAATCCATTTTCAGGAGGATTACTTCACCTCCCATTCAGGCGCTGGGCTTATGAAACAAAATCCCGAGAGCCATGGAGAATCCCAAGTGGGACTCAGAGAAGAAAACCAACAGGCCAGGTGTCGGTCCAGAGTCTGGGGAGGGCTTCGTGAGCAAAGGAGCAGATGAAACAAGAATCCTTAAGATTTGCCCTTACTGTCAGCCAGGCAATTCGGAAACCACAGGGCACAAGAATTGTAGTCCCCTCGGCTGGCAAGTCGTTATTTCCACAGAGACTGCTATTTGCAGAGCCACACCTGAAGATGAATTCCTCAGGACTGTTTTTAAAGCTTCCCAGGAATCGCATGACAAGCCCGTGCTTACCTGATCAAGCAATCACTGCCCCAGGAGAGGCGTCCCCTCCACCTCTCCCAGCCTCTTACCTGCCCAGCTCCTCTCCGATGTCATAAAAGTCCTCCACCTTCTGCTGCTTGAACGTCTCCATGTTTGGGCTCCTCATTGAGGCCTGGAGCATACAGCCCTGAAACCAGAGGAAACCTGAGGTCAGGACAGCCAGGAACATCGGCACAGGCCTAAGAGTCTGGGCCTAAAAGTAATCGGCTGCACAGGAGCTCATAATTTAATGATAATCCACAGCCCTAGTTCCTCAAGGACTAGCCTGCCCAAGCCTATTCTCACCAGTGACTGACAAAGTATGGTTCTTATTGATTTCTATCAATTTGAACCTGTTACGGAGACAGGAAAGGAGGCCTCCTTACTTACTTAGATCTGCTCTGAACACGTTCAGAGAAACAGCCCCATGGCCAGCTTCAGTGATTTGTTCTCATGAAATTCAGGCTGGCTGAGAAAAAGAGGCAGCCACAAGGCAGGAAAGTGAGCACTCATCTTTGAGTCAGAAGTTCTGGGTTCGAGTCCCAATTGCCTGAGTAAGTCATTTAAACTGCCACACTTAGGTTCCCCATCTGCTAAACAGGTTTATCCTGTTAAAAATCTGCAAATCATGAAATTATTTTGTAAACTCTAAAATGCAGTGGAAGTGTAAGGGATTTTCATGACCTCAGCTCCCGGAGGGGCTGCGCCACCCAGCTGTAAACTCTCACTCATCACTCCAAGGGAAAGAGGGACAGGAGTGGCGGAACAAATTATAGGAGGCACCAGCAGTCAGGGGCTGGAGGTTCTGATTTCAAGGCAGCCCACAACTAACTCTGTGACCTCATCTCTTGTCAGAGAGCCTCACAGTCCTCATCTATAAAATGGACCAACTGCCCGCCCAGAGCCCCTCAGTGAGAGCCAGAGGACAACCCTGAGCCATGGGGAGCGTTCACCACCCCACCAGATGAAGACTGTTTTCATCCTCCCCTGGGATCTCCCTGCCCCAAAAAGCTCACCCATTCCTGGGACAGCCCCATGCCACCCTGGACAGCACCCCAAGGGAAGGACCCAGGGCACAGTCTGCAAATGACAATGTTACAACCAGGGGCCTGTGGCTGTGTGTCTCAAGAGTCATTAGCACAGGCCTCTCCAAGCTCATTTTGGCTAGTATTGGCAACTTTTCTTCTGCCTGGCAATCAGATACCAACCACACCCAGGGCCCCATGAGCCCCAAAAGACTGTTTTCACCAGGCTGGGTGGAGGCAGCCTCACACAAGGGTGCGTCTCCTCGATGCCACGTAGCTGAAGCTGTTCCAACTCCCAGAGAATGTATACATTTCACACTCCTTCCTCCGGCGCTGCCCCCTGCACACTGTAGCTCTATTACCATGATGCCGCCTGCCTCCCTCCCTCCCACAGGCTGCACACCCCTGAAGTCCCCCAGGCAGAGCCGGCCTGGCTCCTGAGCCTGACTCACAGTCACTTGCCGAACTACTACCTGTTGATGCCCATGGTCCATCAGGCAGCCTCCCTCCTGCTCCGGCTTCCCCAGTGCTAGCCTGAGCCCAGCAAACATGGGCCACAAAAAAGAGCAGGTTCCCAGGGCCCCAGTTCTAGACTAGCCTGGGTATGTAGCAGCTGTCTAACCCACACAGGCTGGCACCCTCTGGGCCTCAGTCCCCTCATCTGTAAACGCATACTTCACACAGCCGTGTGTGGATCCATTTGTGATTGGGGCATAAACTCATAAGCAAATAAGAAAGGTGATTATTACTGTTAATACGTGACTCATCCTGGGCCAGTCTTTGTGTTTCTGCTTCCCACAGCAGTGGAGAAAAGCATTTCAATTCCCTTCTAGGGAAAAGGTTTTGGGATCCTCCTAGAAAGTTTGGCTTGACCAAAATCTGAAGCTATACCCCCTCACTCACACACCCCCCAAACCCCCATCCTGGCAAATTTCCTGAGACTAGCCCAGAGGGTGGCAGAGGACTGCTATCTACCACCTTCTTTGGGGTCAGGCAGGTCCTAAGGGGTGGGGTTACTCATTTCACATACCTAGAGGGAAGCAGAAAATTCCAAAAAATTCTTTTGACAGATAACCCTGAGACCAGTCCCTAGAACAGCAAAGACCCTCCCCAGAGTAGCTAAGATCCTCCATTAGGCAACAGGCCAGCTCCATTTGCTCTCGGGAGCTGAGCTGGATTCCAAGCAGCCCCAGCTCCCAGCAAAATGATGAGCCCCTATGTTGGGCTCCAGGTGTAGCCAGGGGCTAGGAGACAAGGAAGCACCCTAAGGACAAACTAGGACCACCAGTTTGGTCCCAACTAAACTTTCCAGACTTAGCCCCCTCCCCCCACATATCCTATATTCCAGCCAAATGAGACCTTTCCCATTCCCTCAAAACTTTCACCCCCGCCATGCATCAGCTCAAGCTGGGCCCTTTCCATGGAAGGCCCACCTGGAGAGCCCTCCCAGCAAAACCATTCCCTTCCCACAAGACCTGGCTCAAATGCCACCAACTCCGTGAGGCTCCGTGACTCTATTTCTTATCAAAACAGATTAAATTTCCCCTCCCCCTTTAAATTCCCAGAGCGGTCTCTTCATACATATTTAGGGTTAGAGCTTTCAGATTTTGGCTCATAACTGTCTATGTCTAACCCCAAAGGAGAAGGCACAGACCCTACAGGCACACAGGACTGAGCTGGAATCTCAGCTCTATCACTTCTGCACATACTGAGCACAGGACAACTTTTCGGAACTTCAAAAGACTGACATGGAAAATAAGTCTGGACAGTGCCTGTTGGTCACTGTTGGTGACTATGTGGAGCAGATAGAACTCTCAGACACTGCCATGAGAAGCATATTCTGGGACAACCACTTTAGAAATCTGTTGGGCAGTTTCTATGGACATACCCAAGAGAAATGCATGTAGATGTTTTCCAGGATGGTCCATGGTAGAATGTTCACAGCAGCACTATTAGTAATAGCTACAAATTGGAAACAACCCAAGGGCCATCAGTAGAAGAACAGATAAGTAAATTGAGCTATACCCATACAATGGAATTATTCTATAACAATAATAAACTACCCCTACGTGTATCCAAATGGATAAAATTCACAAGCATAATGTTGAATGAAAGAATCCAGACACAAAAGACCACATACTTAAGACCACAAAAGACCACTTAGGCAAAACTCATCTATGGTGCTAAAAGTCAGAATAGTGGTTACCCCTGGGTGGGGGGTTATGTCTGGGAAACGGGAGTTTCCTGGTGCTGGCAATGAATACTGTTTCTTGCTCTGGGTCGTGGTTACATGGATATGTGAAATGTGCACTTATTTTGTATGCAATCAAAATTTTACATAATAAAAAATGAGACTAAGAGCTACATTATGACAAATGAGATAAACATGTAAAATGACCTGCATAGTGTTTGGATGGTTCCAACAAAAATGAATTCCTTCCTTCCTGCCTCCTGTCTTAGAGCCCCATGAGGGCAGTGGTTGTCACATTCTCACCTATGTCTCCCAGTCACTGCTGGTATACAATAGGCACTCCCTAAATATTTGTTGATTTAAATGTAGGGCCCAGCCTCCCTTCTCAAGGTCACTGCTCAGCAGCTTCATCAGGTAAAAACAACTAATAACAACTTAAAGCATTTTCCTAATTATCTCTCCCCAAGAGGAATTTGCATTTTATCAATTTATCAATTTTATCAATTTAGGGACATAAAACTAAAGGGGAGAAATTCCAAGGTGAAAGTATAGTCACCAGTTAGGACCCAGAGAAGGCCCCAGGGCACAGGTACCTTTCTGGCCCTGAGAAGATGAAACAACATGGCAGAGGGGAGGGACATAGCTACAGCTTTTGGTCAGAAGCACAGGATGTCTGCTCCAGACATTCCAAGGGTGAAACCCACCTTCATGCCCACATTTCTCTTAATGGAATCACTAGGACTCACACTCCTGCCCTCAACCCTCATAATAGGCAACCCTTCTGAAGTTTAACACAGATTTCCTAGAACCTCACAAAAGGGAATCTCAAAGGTTATCCAGGGGCTTTTTAGACACCAGCATGAGGAAGGAGAGGCAGAGCATCTCCCCCTTTATCTATACAATAAGTTGGGGCTCTGGGTAAGAATTCACTGGGGGCAGGAGGAGCTTGACAAACCACTGCTATCTGGTCTATAATCCACTCGTTGTTGGGTTTGTTTTTTGTTTTTTTTAAGATTTTATTTATTTAGTTGACAGAGATCGCAAGTAGGCAGAGAGGCAAGGCAGAGAGAGAGGGGAGAAAGCATGCTCCCCGCTGAGGAGAGAGCCCGATGCAGGGCTCGATCCCAGGACTCCAGGATCATGACCTGAGCCGAAGGCAGAGGCTTTAACCCACTGAGCCACCCAGGCGCCCCTATAATCCACTCGTTTGACAAAAGAAGGAAATTGAGGTCCAGACAGGGGATGGGACTTAAAGTCCCACAGCTAGCCCACTCCAGCTGTTCTTGTCTCGGCTTCTGATGACAGCCCCCTCAACCCTCCAGTATAGCACCAGGGTTGGGGAAGCCAGTGGCCTCCAGAGGGACAACTTAGGAGGAAGCCTCCAAGGCTAGAGGATCACCCTGCAGGGAACCCTCTACCCTACTAAATCCTCTCACTCACTGGCCCCAGCTCACTCTCCTGGTCATTTGGAGATCCTCGTCCCACCTCACCCAGTGTCAGTCAGTGAAATGGGACCGTTGCAAGGGGGCAGGCAAGCTTTTCCTCTTATACCTTCCCCCACATTAGGAATCATCACACTCAGGCTGTGAGGAGACTGCCCACAGAAGGGAAGGAGCTCCAGCATTACAGAGCCCCTCCATGCAGTCAAGCCTCTGACCAGCCCCAGTCAATCTCTGATGAGGAAGCTCAGGCCCAGAGATCAGCCATTTGCCTAAGTTGACAGGAGAAAACCCATTTTTCGAACGAAGGTCCAGCTCCACTAGACAGCCTGCTTGTTCACCCTCATGTCTAATAAGGAGGGAAACCTCAGCGGGGTGGTCAGGGTCAGATCAGGTCTCATTCCTGCCGGCTGAAAACTTGCTCCAGACCAGCACACACTCACCCCCAACCACACATACCCTGCACCCCCTGCCCAAGCCTCTTCCAAAGCAGCTGAATTATCAGTGGGGCCACTTTACAGTTAAATCACAACTTGGGAGAAGAGCAGGACTCTGAAAGTACTGGTGAAGAGGCCAAGGCACCAGCTCCCCTTAGTCACCAGGAGTCTCCCAGAAATACCTTACATGGAGGCAGATGGGAAACAGAGTGGGAAACCAGATCAGCAGCCCCCAGCTGCCCTCCACTGGATTCTAGAGTACAAGGTGCCAGGGGCTGTTCTCTCCACCTGGCCCCAGGACCTTCCCACCTGCTTCTGAGGCAACCAGCTAGGACTCCCTCTCTCCCGGGGTGCACCCCCAACCTTCCACTACCTGCATGGCCTCCATGCTCACCTTTCTGGGACTTTTTCTCACTCCTAATGTGAGAATACTAATCGCCACCTCGCAAAGTTACGGTGAGGACCAGCCAGACCCACACATGCCATGAGACGTCCACAATGCCTGGCCCAGAGTCAGGGTCAACTACTGACGACGCCCTCCTATGCCCTTCTATCCCAGCCTGCTGCAAACTTACAGGCTACCCCCATTGCCTCCCTAGTGGCCCCGGGCCCATGACGTCGGGGACCACAGCTTCATTCTGCCACAAGCAAGCTGACTGTGTGTGGAGCAGCCTTCTGGAATCACGTCCTTGTGCAAATGGGAGAGGAGGTGTGCGAGGTTGCTGCAGAGAAGACTAGCCCTCTCCTCCCCGAAATCTGTAGTGCTCTCCCCATCATGGGGGCCCTAAATTGATGAAAGTCTGTTTCCTATCTCCCCCAGATCCTGCCCTGGGTGCCAAGCCTCGGCCAGTCGCTCCCACCCCGTCCCTCGTCCCTAGGGTCAAAGTGCCAGGCTTCAGAGAGCGCCCGAGAGCACAGTGGACAGTCCCGGGCCGGCCACAGCGCCCGAGGACAAGGCCGGCCAAACCCCCCAGACGGGGTGGAGGGGATACGGTGTGAGGGACCCGGGCGGCAGGCTCCGGGAACCCGAGAGCGCACCCCGGAGCAACCTGCCCCCGCCAGCCCCAGCCCCGCGCGCCCTGTGGCGCCCGTCGAGCCCGCATACGGGCGCTACTCACGGCGAGAGGCTGCGCTGGGCGGGCACGGCGGACGCGACGGGGTGCGCGGCGCTGGGCTAGGCTCTGCTCCCCGCCCGCTGCCCGCCCGCGGAACCGCGGAGGAGCCGAGGGGGCGGAGCGGCGGCCTGGTCCCAGGCGCCGGCTGGAGGCGCGCCCGGCGTCCTGGGACAGGGGCTCGGGGCGCCCCCTGCTGGGAGCCCCCTCTGGACTGCCCCGAGGTGAGCGTCGAGAGCCTCCTGCCAGGTCCCCAGACACCTCCAGGAGTGCCGGGGAGAGCCAGCAGCGAGACTCTCCCCGCGTCCTTAGCGTTCTGCCCCTCACAGGCTGTGTGGCCTTGGACAAGTCAACTAAGCTCTCCAAGTCTGATCTGGAAATTGCTTTAAATGAGCCGATGGTAATCTGATACATCTTGGCACAATCGCTCAGAAAATGGTATTTCCTTGTCCCCTCACTCCCGATCCCTTGCCCACTCACCCCACCCCGCTCAACGCACACACCGTGAGAGAGGAAGTCCCACGAGGGAATAGGCCGTTTCCTCCCTCCCAGCCGGGATGCTCTTCTGCGGACATCACCACTGGCTTTCACAGCTGGGTGGGGGCTGAGATGGAGAAGGACACTCCCCTTGTCCCCACCAACCCCCAGCTTGGGAGTGGCCTAACCTCGGAGGCCCTCTATGTCCTCTCCCCCAAGCCTCTGCATGGTTGATGAGTGAAGCCCCACATCACCGTCAAGCCTTCCTTAATAAAGGACTTGGCAGTGGATTCCTCCTCTTTTTCTTCTGCCAAAAATCCCAGGAAGAAAAGAAAAAAGAAAAAAAAAAAAGGAATGAGAGTGGAGCGGGTGATGGGAAGAAGGAAGTGGAAACAGAATCACAGCCAAGACAGAACTTATTTGAAGACAAGAGACTGTTTAGCGAAAGGAAATGGAGGCCCCTTCCCAGAGTTTCCCATCCCTAAGTCACCAACAGGGCTCCTCAAGGGGTCCTAGAGGAAAAGGTCTTTGATTTGGAGTTCTGCTCCTTGGTTCAAAGCCCTGCTCACCATTCCCCACGTATAGTCTTGGGCATGGCACCTGAACTTCTCCTTCATCAGTAAAATGGGGCAAACACCCCCCCCCCCTTATAGTTTCTAATGGAGCTACTACGGGACTGAAATGAAACATGTGCAAGGGATGCCTGGATGGCTCAGTTGGTTAAGCATTTGCCTTCAGCTCAGGTCATGATCCCAGATGTGCAGGGATCCATTCCCACACTGGACTCCTTGCTCACTGGGGAGCATGCTTCTCTCTCTGCCTGCCGTTCCCCCTGCTTGTTCTCTCTCTCTCTCTCTCTGATGAATAAATAAATAAAGTCTTTAACAACAACAAAAAAAGTATAGGATATACCTAGAGGACTTTCACCAGTGTAAGTAACCTCCCCCACACAGACTGGGGTACTGACAAGTACAGATGAGCCCTGTCCCCCAGCTGACCAGAAAGACCAAAGAGCTTCCTTGTTTATAAACTTTATCACATCCCAGGACAGTGCAGACTCTGAGTCTCCTGTCCCAAGAGCACCATGCTACCTAGAGTAATACCCAAGACCAGAGCTGGCTTCCAAAGTCAGTGACAGAGGAGGCCACCCACAGAAGTTTCACCAGTGTAGGGAGACCCTTTATCCTCAGACTACCCTCAAAACACACACATACCCACTTCCAGTTATCTATTGCTATGTAACAAGACACATCAGCCTTGGTGGCCTGAAACAGCAATATTGTCAGGATCACAAATTCTGAGGTTTGAGAATTCAGACAGTGCACAGGATGGCTTAGCTCTGTTCCGCAATGTCCAGGGCCTCAACTGGGAAGACCTGAGTGGTGGGGAATAATTTGCATGGCTGGGAGATAGAATATTCTGGAGGTTTCTTCATTCACATCATAGCCTGGGCTATGATAAAGCCAAGCTGGAATCAGCCAACACTGCCAGAATACCTACATGTCGCCTCTCCATCACTTCCCCTGTGAGCCTCATGCTTAACACCTAATTTGCAAAAACAACATCCCCTCACATGAGGCAAAACTGACATTCTTAGGTTTGATACTTGGCAAATTAGTCGAAGGACATCACAGCAGGAAGGGTCATTTTCAGTCATCCCATCCAGCCTGTCATTTTCAGACAAGGAAACGGAGGCTCAGAAAAGAAAAAGTGACTTGTCCAAGGTCACACAGCTGGTGAGAGGCAGAGCTAGGATTAGAACAAGGCCTCTGCCAGATTCTGTCTGGTGCTCTCTGCATCGTTCTTGCCAAATGCAATTGCCTAGGGAGGTACCATCTGGAAATGCATTTTTTGCTTAAGGTTGAGTGAACGTATCAGACCTTCACCTGAGAGCAGCAACAGGACACTGAGCACTGCACATGGCACCAAGGTGGCAGTGGGCAGAGAAGGAAAGACCCTGAGGGTGATAGCAAGAAGTGCATCTATTCCAGAATGAAACCAGAGGAGGGACTGGGTATTAAGAGCTAAGAATCAAGCAATTCTGCTCCAGCTCCTGCATGCTTCCCACGGCTGGCAAAATAGCACAAATGCCTCACTCTGGCAATTAAGGCTCCAACCTGCAGTTCCCAGGCCCACACATACACCCTCTTCCCTCGTATGCCTGCACAGCCAGCTCTCTTGCCGGGTTGGATTATTGGCTGTTCCTGCCTCCGTGCTTTTGTTTAAGCCACTCCACCCACCCCCAGTCCCATCCTACAAAATCATATCCATCCTTCAAGGGCCCTTGAAGGATGGGTATCCTTATCTTCCATGGATACCATCTCCCTTCCTCTCCAGATGGCTTTCTCCCCAGAGCCCCGCCACTCTTGGTTTGTACCAAATTGGCATTCTCCTTCCCCTGTTTTAGTTATCATCAGTGTCCACTTCCCTTTGCCTTTAGGGCAAGGACAATGTCTTGTTCATCTCTGTACCCAGGCAATGGCTGATAGCCCAAACCTGATAAAGTTTGTTAGATTGGATTGCTAGAATGTAAATAGCACAAGATGACTGTCTTGTTTTCTGTTGTCTCCCAAGGATATCCAAGTCCCTGGCCCTTAGAAATTTTATGTTGGATGGAGAGACGTTTAAGTCATTTCAATAGCTGCCACATAATAGCATTTCTTCCAGCAAGTACCTTCTCCATACCAGGAACTTTACTTCAGGGTGGATGCAACGATCCCTTTCTACAGATGACGTAGCTGAGGTTTGGGAATGTTGACTTGCCCAAGCTCCCCTAACTTGTAAGTAGCTGAGCTCTGCTGTGAATCTGTCCTGCCCACCTCCAAAGACCAGGCTCTTTCTGCTCCCCTGACCCTCCTACACACTGTCTTCTCTCAGTGGAAACTTCCAAAGATTCCAAAATGGTGTTAATACAGGGGTTCTCAGCCCAGGCTGCACATCAGAATTGCCTGAGGGTGTTTAATGATCCCCGTGCTCAGACCGCACCCCTCACCAATGACATCGCAACCTCTGGGAGTGACGTCTGGGCATCAGCAGTGGTTAAAACTCCCAAGTGATTCCAGTGGGCAGGTTGAGAACCACTTTGCTCATGTCACAAAGATCTGGGGAAATGAAACCACCCTCCATCAACCCACCAAACTGCAAACTCATCAGAGCACCTGCTTTGTTCAAGACACTCCAAGGGACCATGGGATGGGTGAGTCACAGGAGCTTGAAGCTTCCACAGGGAACAAGCCCACAGGGAAAGAGGTGACCATGGCAGGCAGCAAAGGGCAATGAAAGTGGTGATATCCTAAAGCACACTTTGGTGCCTGGCAAGTATACAGAGCCTAGCAACCTGTGGACAAGGAGACAGGGCAGGGATTAAGATGCTGCATGTGTTGGCTGGGGCAGCTGGTCCTGGGGACAGCCCAGAGGGTGCATAGTGTGAGGACAAATGATGCCAGGTGCCTGCATGCAGTTTACTTACTGTGTGATCTAGGGCAAGCTTCTTTATCTCTCTGTGCCTCATTATCCTCAGTGGTCCAGTGGAGCTAAGATTTGTCTCCTAGATTGTTGTGAACGTTCAGTTCATCAGGGATCCATGCAAAGGACTTAGACTGGTACCTGCTGCATGGCAAAGTGCTCAATGAGTCTTAGCTCTTTTAATTTTTCCTTAAATGTCTGCTGTGAGCTTCCCTAGAGGAGGAAATGGAATTTAGCCATCTTTTCACCCCACCCTCCTACAGCCTGGCCCAGAGCACGTTCTTAGCAAGTGTCAAATGAAGTCTGGAATGCAGGCTTCTTGACAGTGGGCCCAGAGTGGACTCGTAGGCTATCAGAGCAAGCCAGGAGAGGGCACAGGTGGTTCCTCCCTGGCTGGCTTGCCTCCGGGCTGGAAGGCAGGCCGGAAGCCTCCTCCTCCTGTGGCCTGACTTCTCAGCCCTTCCCAGTCCTGCCTACCCTTCCCTGTGCCCTCTGTTCTCCCACACCCAGCTAGGCAGGGCCAGGGGGTGTGGAAAGGGCCCAGAAGCCCTTCCTGTTTCCTCCCTCAGAAGGCCCACTGGCTTCTGCAGTCAGAGGTGACTGCTTCGAACTTTAGCCTTACTGGACTCAGCAAGGCCTTGACCCCACCAAGAAAGGGGCTGGGTCATGAAAGGCCTTGCCTTTTCCTGGAAGCCTAGAGAATGGGGATTTCCTGGGCATATACGTACACCCATTCACTCTGCAAATGTTGGAGGACACCTCCTGGGGCTGGGTGCCATTAAGGGTAAGCAGAGAATCAATGCCCAGAGGTTTATAATAGCAATGTCCACAACAGCCAAACTATGGGAAGAACCTAGATGTCCATCAACAGATGAATAGATAAAGAAGATGTGGTGTGTGTATATGTAATATATACACAACACACAATCGAATACTATACAGCCATCAAAAAAAAAACCCAAAATCTTGCCATTATGGAACTAGAGGGTATTATGCTAAGCGAAATAAGTCAATCATAGAAAGACAATTATCAAATGATCTCTCTGATATGAGGAATTTGAGAGGCAGGACAAGGGGTCGTGGGGGGTAGGGTGGGAAAAAATGAAACAAGATGGGATCAGGAGGGAGATAAACCATAGGATACTCTTAATCTCAGGAAACAAACTGAGGGTTGCTGGAGGGTGGGGGGGATATGGAGAGGGTGGTTGGGTTATGGACATTGGGGAGGGTATGTCCTATGTTGAGTGCTGTGAAATGTGTAAGCCTGATGATTCACAGACCTGTACCCCTGGGGCAAATAATACATTATATGTTAATATAAAAAAAAAAAAAAAGAATCAATGCCCAGAAGTGTCGGTCTACTCCAGCAGGCATCACGAGGGGCTTAAGGGGAAGGAGAGGCTTGGAAGAAGAGGACCAGGTGAGTAGGAGGTGACAGAGAGGGGAGCACATCAGATGGGAGCAGCTGTGTGCACAAAGGGAAGGGGGTATGCAACCACTTGCCATTTACTGTCCCGACTCCCACCTAGTCAGCATGGGGGTCACACTGTCAGATCATGACCCAGGTATTCGCCATTGCCTTCAGTTTGGGGTAGAGGTTGGTGTCATGTGCATGGAGTTCTTAGAGATGCCCCCCAAGACTGTGCCTACCTTTAGGGCTACAA